CAGCCATTGCCTCCAGGATCTCTAGGCCCATCGCTGGTCAGCACCACGGACAGCTCCACCGCTGCCATTGGCTAGCGCCCCTCTCTGGATTGCATATCCTAATCATGGGTATAAACAAACCCAGATGCAGATTGCATCTCCAGCCTAGTGAATCAGAAGCGGTGGAACCTGTATTTTTGGTGTGCAGACCAGCGATTGGAGGTGCTGACCAAAGCCCACAGAGGAGAGTAACTTGCCGAAGTTGCTCGAGTTCCAGAGGCATATGCTCAGTGATGTAGAATAGGTCCTCAAAGATGACTTCAGACTTCTTGTGTCTGTCCTTTCTAAAGATCTTGCCACTGAAACTGTGATTTGTGCCCGTTACCATCAGGGAGAACATGCTAGAAGTGCAAGAGCTTGGGCCTCCCTGGTGGCCTGGGGGTGAAGTCTCAGCACTGTCACCACTGTGGCCTGAGTTTGATGTCCAGCCAGGAAGCTGACCCACATGGTGCAGCAGACCTCTCCTGTCTCCCTGCCGCTCCCCTCAGCTGTGTGTTTCAGTGGATCTCCCTGCTTAGCTCCCCACTCTGTCTCTGGTGAATCCACTCACTGCCCCCCCCCATACCTCTGGTCTATACACCATTTCTTCTATACAAAAATAAATAAATTTTTTTTTTTAAAGAAGAAATGCAGGATCTCGGGCCCCACCTCAGTCCTACTGAATCAGAATCTGCACCTTAACAGGCTGCTGCCCCCCACAAGCTGTGTACACATGGACATTTAAGAGGCACCCATGTTATTTTTTGTGTTTGTTTCAAACTAGACCCTTTCAGTGACATTCTTCCCCATCTCCTTCATGTTTTGCTCATCCTGGTTCCCACCAAGGGGGTAGATTGCTGCTTGGGTTGTCCGGCAGCCAGGCTCTGAGCCACACCTGTCAGCGGGAGTCACCATGCGTCACCCTGGTACTTCAGGCTGTCTTGCATCCAGGCTCCACCTTCCAGGGTGAACCAGGAGGCTCCCAGATAGCCTGGGCCAGTCCCTAAATGTTTTCTCTCTTTCCCAGGTGACACTTGTACTCATCAACAGTTGTGTATAGGACCAGGGGAGAGGCAGATACGTCCCTGCCCTCAGGGAACGTTTAGTCTGGCCAAGACCAACAGTAGACACATAGCTCCGTAAATGACGGTGCTGAGGATAAAGTCCCGGTGATCACTGAGAAAGAACTGCACTTTCACTTCACTAACACCTGACAAGCGCAAACCTCGAACGTGAACTCGGATCCCAGACCGCAGCAGTGGTCACGGTGTCTATGAGCTTGTCCCCTTGAAGCCACATGTGTGTTTTCGTATGTGTGTCTGCAGATGGCTCCAGACACCCCTGAAGCTCACCACTCTGGAACTCTCACCGGTACTAGGCCCGTGCCTGGATCTTTAGTGCCTCGGCAGCGAAAGCCTTGGACTAACTTAGCAGTCTCCATCGCTGTGTTATACAGGAGCGCTTGTCTTTCTAAGGCTGTGTATCTTATCTCAGGAATTTAAAAACATAATTCTGATGAGGGGCGGGGCGGTGGCCTCTCAAGGCCTTCTCAGAACCCTGCCTGTCCCTTCCGGGGCCCCCAGGTCTTCTCACACCACACCACACCTCTCCCTGCCCTGGCAGGGGCCGCCGCCCACCCCTGCTGTTTTCAGCCGCCTGCTCTTTCCAGACTCTTCTTCCTATTCCTTCCCCACCGAGTTCCTTTTTGTGAAGCAGGTGCTAGATAAATAATTAATAGGGTGGGAAAGCTCGTTGGAAATAACACAGCTCATGTTTATTTTTAAGCAGCCGCGTTACAGAGCCCTGCTCAGGTGCAGGCAGGTGGGGACGTGTCTGACTAAGAGGTGCGTGAGTGGGAGGAAGGAGGGTCTAGATAAGCCTGCACATTGGGAGAGTCGGGGCCTGGGGGCCAGGGGGCCAGGAGGATGTCGCTGACCCAGGAAGTGAGTGGAATATGCCAGGAGGAACCAACATTTTGGTGAGGAGCTAAGCAAAGAGCCTCCCAGATCGGCAGAGGCAGAGAGAACTTGGATTGATGTGATTGAAAAAAGCAGGAATGGGTTGTAGCTCCAGGCATGGCTGGGTCCAGGGCTCCAAGGGTCCACAGAGCTCCTTGCTCCCGCCTCCCCCTCTTTTGCTTTCCTCTTTGACATCAGAGGGAGTCTTGGAAGCTAGTCCCAGGCATGTGCAGGCTCCTGTCTCCCGACAGCCGCAGAGGAGAGCTGCTTCCCAGTCAGTTGGCGCCAAGTCGGGGCTGGATTCCACTGGTCTCCGGGGCAGTGGGGTGGGGTTGCCTCAACTCCAGATCAGTTGAGGAGTTTTCTTCTTATGATGCCTTTCGTAATGGACAGGGGACACCTTCCCACTTACTGGAGCTCCTTTAATGTCTTCAAGCCTTTCCTTCGGCCCGTCTCTGACCCGGGGGGGGGTGGGACGTTCCAGAAGCTGCACCTGACTTGTGCTCTTGCCCCTGCGGCCGCTCTCCAACTGTGTGGGTGGAAAATGACAGGGAACGGGGTGTGTTTGAGCGGATCACAGCCGTCGCCTTGATAGTGGCACAGAGGGTGATTACTGGGCTGAGAATAGTAGCAAAGCAGAAAAAAATGCCTGTTACAAGTGCTTACAGCCAGAGTGCGATGAAGGCGTCCGAAAGGACGCGGGGTAACAGCCAGAGCTTAGGGGCGACTGTCCAGTCGATGAGTAGAACTTCCTAGGTGGAGAACACACTGGGTGCCGGGCTGGGAGGGGGTGCACCCCAGGGGCATGGAAGCCGCTGCCTGCAGTGGGCTGCGTGATGGCTTCTGGGGAAGGTGCTGGGCCTTCAGACGTGCAGAACTGCCCACCCTCTCGTGTCTCCGTGGACGGACCGGCAGGGCGTGGGGCGGCTCAGAGGTCTGCATTTGATAACCTGTCGGTTTTTTTTTCTTTTGCTCCCGGATGGCCTGCGGGCATATTTTCACTGGTCTGTGCCATGATATTCAAGCACGGGAATTATCTGCAAACTGATCGGGAGCTGAGATGTGCTCCTAACAATCCAGAGTTGCCGCTTCCCTCACAAAGTGGGGGGAGCTGAAGGGGGAGTCCCCTGCTCTGTGTCTGGGCCTCGCCCCTGGCCTGCCGCGAGGGAGCCTGCCGCCCCGGTCTTGGTCCGAGCGAGTGTCTGGGGAGCGGCCTCTCTCCACTCGCTCTAGGGGGGACACAGAGCCGGCTGCCTTCTGGGTCTTGGCTCCCCGCCTGCTTATCCCTCAAGCCACGTCCCACCAAGGGACCTTTGGGGCAGGTTGGGTGACGACGAGGCAAAGAGGAAGGAAGATGATCTCTGAAGTCCATCCCGCCCGCTGTCCCCCTCGGCCATGTGGTCCCGGCGGCCACGCCGAGCGCCGCCGAGCCTCAGTCTGGGTGCACCTGGGGCGTGGGCGGTCCCCTGGCGCCCCATCACGCCCGGCGGTCTGCACACGCCGGCTGATGGTCTCCATTTGCCGCTCCTGCCCACCCAGCGACTCTGCGGGGGCAGCGACAGCTAGGATGGTGGAGACCACTGATGGCCCCATCGATGCCACTGCGGCGGCTGCTCAAACCGCTGAGACTCTCTAAACCAGACCCTGATGACCATCGCGCTTTCAACAGACTGCGAAATGCTGGGGCCTTGCGAGGACCAGGCTCCTGGGTAGCGGGGCGGCTGTGTGCGCCATCTGTCACCCGGTGATTGCCGAGCAGAGCAGGCCGGCGCTGCCAGAGCGACCGCCTAGAGCTGTGGACAGCTACGGAGAGCAGGGCCGTGTGGCTTGGCCCCGGGGGGCGCACATGAGCTCGGGGGAACCCTGAACTGCTTGGAACGTTCCAGCCCAGCCCCAGCCTCTAGGATTGTTGGGCTTGGAACTTCTTCAGTGCTGAACACGTCTGAACCCGAATCCGTGGGGGGGGGGCTGGCAAGGGGCGCGGTGTGGGCCTGATGGGGGTGTGGGCTGGCAGTACCCAGGGCCCTGCTGGCCGAGACACTCCGAGGATACCCGCGCTCTGGCTGCCCGGGGGCCGGGGAGCAGTCTAAGCGTGTCCGGACAGCGCCGGGAAGACTCGTCAGGGACGGGCTTGAATACGCAAGCGTTTTTGAACGATGAGTTAGTGGCTATCGAGTCATAAAAATCATTCACTGTTGATCTGGAATTCAGAGTTCTCTGGCATCCCGCACTTGATCTGCTCGGGCGTGGCCCTCCGAGACTTCTGCCTTGCTTGGCCCAGACGCTGAGTGACCAGAGCCGCGCCCATCACACTCGTGAGCCCCTCCTGGGGCCCGGCTCTGTGCCGCGCAGGGGCAGGTGCGTGAGCCCCTCCACTCGGGGCCTCCCGGGCGAGCTCCCCTCCCGCTAGGCCGGACCACCGCACTTGTCGGTTGGATCAGTCAGGAGTGCTCGGAGCCCTGTTTGAGTGAGGATGAGCCACTGGCCTCCCACCTCCGCAGGCTCGCACCCCCAGACTGCGCGTCTGCCGCAGAGGGCCTCCCAGGGCCCCTGAGTGCAGGGCGCCATGAGACAGGGCTGCCCCTGGCGACTCAGCCTGGACCATCACAGAGTGCAGCTCGGGCCCCGAGCAGGGCCATGCACGGACCCGGCCGGGCCGGGGGCGCCTGTGGTGGGCCCTGCTGCCCGCCCAGGTTGCCCTGCTCAGGTGGAGACGCGACGCCGCTTCAGGTAAATGTTGGCCGTGTGGTCTCCTCAGCTGTGCCTCCCTCGCTGATCTGTGACCTCCGCCCGCCCGGCCCGTCGCAGCCACCGCCCCTGCTCACTCTCCTGTCCCCGGCCCGACGCTGCACCCCGCAGACACTAATAACCCGCAGGTGCGGGGTGTCGTTCCTCCCCGGGAACCGCCTTGCCAGGGGCGTGCTCCCCACAAAGGCTCGGGTGCCGTTTGCAGGCGTCCGGGCGCCGCCGGTGCTCACGAGAGGAGGGCGGCCGGCTTGAGGCGCCTCCTGCTTGTCTCCTCAGGACGCCAAGTTCGTGGAGGAGCGGAGGAAGCAGCTGCAGGACTACCTGCGCAGCGTCATGAACAAGGTCGTGCAGATGGTCCCCGAGTTTGCCGCCAGCCCCAAGAAAGAGACCCTCGTCCAGCTGATGCCCTTCTTCGTGTGAGTACCCGCAGCCCCTTCTCTGTCTCTGCCGGACGCGGAGGCCTGAGCCTGGGGCTCGGCGACCTGGAGCCTGCGCCACGAGCGTGCCCAGGGGTGAGCTCCTCTGGGTGGGGGTTCGCGCCTCAAGGCCGGGCTTGGCACCCCTGCTCACTGTGACCCAGGGGACAGCTGGTTTCTGCCCTGCTCGCGGGTGTTCCGGAGTGACGCGGTCACCTTCAGTGTCCAGCCTGGGCCACCAGCCGAAGGGGAGGCTCTGAGTCACACCGGCTCGTCCCGTTCTTCCACGGTGCCCCTTCTCCATGGTTCCGCTAGCCGCGGTTCCTGGCGGTCAGCTCTGGCCGGCCGGCGTACGGCACTTTCTGAGAAAGACCCCGCTCGCCCGAGTCTTCCCCCGTGTCCCATGATGGCGGTCCTGCCTGCTGCTGGTTGCTGGTCTTCCGCTGCGCCAAGTCTACAAACGTAACTTGGTCCGGCCTGGACGTGCGGGAGAACCCAGCAGCGGTCAGCGCCCAGGGCGGGCCTTGGCGTGTGCCCTCTGGGGAGGGCGATGCTGTGCCCCTTACGTGTGAGAAAACCTCCACATCGTAACGCGAGGCGCAGGCTCCTAGCTGTGTAAAAGCAGAGCTCGCTTGGCATTGCGCGTGGAGCACTGACGTCGGACGTTAGGGCGCCGTTTCCCGACGGCAAGTCCTTGTCCCCGTGAGGGCCAGGGTCTCGTGGGCGGCCCCCCCACCTCTTGGGGCCCCCAGCTACGCGCCCCCAGCCTGGCTGCCCCATCAGCACCCGTCTTCTCTGTTCTGATATGACTGTTTGTCTCATAGCCTGAGAGTCACAGAGACCTGTGAGCCCCCAAGAATGGGGTCGGGACTCATCCCCTGAGAATTGCTTGTGGTATTCTGGGACTAATTTAAATAAGCGCGCCCTTTCTCTGTACTTCTTTGGGGGGGTCCTTCCCACGGGGCGCCGGGCCGTGCATGGCCCCCTTGCTGGCCTTTCCCAGCACTCCCAGTCCGACGGCCACAGTCACAACTTCCTGCACGGGGCTTCGAAATCTCAGCGAGCTAGTTGCTGGCGCTTTTCTAATAATTTCAGGGCTTTTGTGAGAAGATTTAATTGTGTTGTGCTGCCTGTGATAAAAGATGCCTTTTTGGTCTTTCACGGTGAACGCAGCACATGGAAATCTATTTCCTTTTATTCCATTATTGGTGGTGCCGGGGCTTGCGTCTTGCTGTTCTGATGCGGGAGAGGGAGAGGCCCCTGTCACCCTTGAGAGGCCCCTCCAGCCCGTGGGCCCATGAGGCTCCCCGCACCCGGTCGGGGCCTGTCGGCTGGGTTCCTGCGTGAGCGCTGACTGACAGGTTGGTCCTGCGACTCTGACCCTCAGAGGGGCTGAGGGGAGCAGCCACGGTCTCCCCGCCCCCTGCCAGCCGGGGCCCCCTGCCCACGGCCCGTGTTCTGCATGTGCCAGCGTGCTGTGCAAGCTCAGCCGTGCCGGGGCCGTCACCCGGGGCTGAGAGGAGCTCTGTGCCGCTCTAGCGCAGAGAACATAAAGTTCCATTTCATGGGCGTCAAAATGCAGCGAATTTTGGTAGGAGGTTGTGGCAGATGATAGCCCAGAGCTTGACTGGAAGCGGTCTGGCCCCGGGTGCAGCAGAGCGCTGGCTCCTGGCAGCCCCACATCGAGCACAACCCCCCTCCCCCCCCAGCCCCTCCAAGCCCCCCCCCCCCAGCCTGTTTGTCTTTTCTGGTGGAGCCGGGTCACAGGCTGGGGTTCAGACAGCGGAGGGAGAGCTGCGGCCAGGCTCTGTCCCGGCTGGGGCGTCCCCACATGGTAACTACTGGCCCGTGTGCTCACGACAGCCAGACTAGAGTCAGCTCAAGCACCAGCCCCGAGAAGCTTCTAGTTAAAAAACAAACTCGTGGCCAAGGCAATAAACTTCTCACAGCGTAACTGTTCTTGGGATCTCTGCGGATCTCTGAAGTGCTTTGGATTCAGGACCCGCAGACCTTGAGGCCTCAGAACGCAGGGGACTTGTGGCCAGACGCACCCCGCTTTGCTGTGCTCGTGGGCCTGGTCACCCCGCCCAGCCCTCCTCGGAGCCTGCTGGCCGGCAAGGTCTCCTTTCCAGTGGGCGGCTGGAGTCATAGGCCACAGTCGTCTATGAGCTTCAGAAATGAGTCCTCCTGGTGCTGACGAGGAGCGACGCCCAGACAGGGCCTGGCTGGCCTGGGTACCCAGCTCACGCTCAGCCCCGGATGTTTGGGGCCTGCAGGACAAACCCAGGGCCTGCGGGAGGAAATCTGCCCCGCCAGCCTCTCTTCCCTGCCAGGCCCAGTGGGCTTCTGGCCATTGTTTTTCTTTTTAAAAAGATTTATGTATTTATGCACACAGAACTGGGGTACAGGCCGGAGGTGCAGGACAGGTGAGAGGATTCCCCAGAGACAGAGTGGGGAGCAGAACAGGCAGATTGATGAAGTACACTGCTGAGGAGGGCAGCGGGCGGGCCAGGAGAGGTCTGCTGTGCCCTGTGGGTCAGCTCCCTGGCCCGGGACCGAGCTCATGTTGAGGTGACTGCAGCTAGCTTCGAAGTGCTGAGCTTTCACCCGTTGCACCACCAGGGAGGGGCCTGGCAGTTGTTTTTCTTAATGGAAGGATTGCCAGCCACAACAAATTTGTAGGTGTTTAATGAAAAAATAATAAGGTACCCAGCTTCTCTTGGGAAATGAGAATTGGTCACACACTGTTATTGACTGCATGTTTGTGCCCCTCTTTCCCTGACCCCCCCCCCGACTCACATGTTGAAACCCTAACCCCCAGTGTAATGGTGTTTGGAGGTGTGACCTTTGGGGTACAGTTAGGTTTAGATGAAGTCATGCCTTTAGATGAAGGGCCCCCAGGATGGGATCGCGCCCCAGTAAGGAGAGGAAGGGAGGCAGAGCTCCCTGCTGCCGTTGCCGTGAGACAGCGCGTGGAGGTGGCCCCGCAGCCGGAAGGCGCCTGCCCAGACGCGGCCCAGAGCCGGACCTCCCGCCCGGCTGTGAGAAGGCGCCAGGCTGGACTTCTGCGGGGGCAGGGTGCCCTGCCACGCCTCGGGGCCCCCTGGTGACGGTGCCGCGGCGCCGCCCGGCCCCACAGGCCGCTCCCTACCCCGATGTCGAGACGCCTGGGCGCCTGGTCCTGGGCTGTTGCCCACACTCAGGCGGAGCCGCTGGCGCGTGTCCTGCAGAGCCTGGGGGCACCGGTGTTTGCACAGCGGCTCCCCACGGAGGCCTCTGTGTGTGGCCGGCCGGTGTTTCCTCCACGATTCTCCTGAAAACGTGCGTTGGCCGCCCGGAGCCCGAGCCGGGCCCGCTCCCGCCCGTGCGTCTCTCTGCGAACCCCGTCTTGTTTCCCTGAGGGGTGCGGGGCCGCGGCCCCCGTGCACCCGGCCGTCTGCACAGGCAGAGCTGACGCATCGGCGCTGGCTCTGCGCCCGTCTGTCCGCCTCCTGCTGCCTGCCCGGCGGTGCCAGCAGCAGCCTGAATTAGAAAGTAGGACGCCGGGAGCCGACCGTCCCCTCCTGTCTGAACTCTGTCTCGTCTGGGTAGGACCAGAGATGGGACAGGTGGACGGCAGCCCCCGGCTCCCTCTTCCTTTGGGGCCTTGTTGTTTGCGCCCCCCTGGCACTGGGGCCCAGGCGGGCCCGAGGGCCGCAGGTGGCGTGTCTGCAGCGTGGGGGGCACGGGCACCCCTTTGGGGCAGGGCTGGGGGGGTCCCCGCGCGCGGCCTGGCCAGCCCAGCGAGGGAAGGGCCGTCGCTGGGGGACGTCGGTCCCAGCACTCGTCCCCGCGGGACTCCCTCGGGCGTGTGGGTGCTGTGTCCCCGCTGCCCACCCCGCCTGCTGCCACCGCATTTCCTCCTGGGTGCCTTTCTGCTGAGTGGCCAGCCGCCCTGCTGCCCCGTGACGGCCCGCGCCACCCGGGCCCGCCCCGCCGGGAACTCTGGTGTGTGGGCCGCCCGAGCCTGCCCAACTCCGGTCCTCGGTGCCGCCCGAGGACCCCCGTGTGCGGCCAGACCAGGGCGCGGCGGGTGTGGTGTTTTAAGGAGTAAGATGGCTGTGAGTGGCCTGGGGTGGCCTGAGTGCGCCCCCACTTGGCGCCTGTCTGACTTCTCCCTCCTGCACTGCCCTAGGGTCTTCACTGACACTGGGGGCCTGTCCTTGAGGACGGGTGAGCCGGGCCCCCAGGTGGCCAGGTGGGACGAGTCGGGGTTCTGAGCCAGCGCCTGCTCTCCCGGGAAGCAGCCGCTGACCTCCCTGCGTCCTCTGGGAAGAGAAGGGCCGATGCCGCTGCTTTGCTGGGGTATCCGGTGGGGCCCCCTGTGTGAGACCCCACTGTGAGAAAGCTGGGGAGGCCACCCGCCCACCCACCCACCGATCCAGGTGAACACTGAAGTTCCAGGAGAAAGTTGCAGGAGGGTCGAGGACCCAGCGGCTGGGACGCTCCCACAGGGGATCTCCCATCAGGATGTGGCTCAGGGCCGGCCTGGGGACACTCAGCGCCACAGGGAGCTCTGGCTCGGGGGCTGGGCCCGGCTCGGGGGCTGGGCCCGGCCGTGATGGCCGTGTCTCTCCATGGGCCCGGCCTCCCCCACAGGAAGGCGCCCCCTCCTCAGCAGCTTACCTCTCACAGGCCCCCGTGACATGTCACTGCCTGCAGCCCCCGGCCTGGTGATTCCTGGCGCTGCGGTCCCCAGGGTCCAGCTCTCGGGGCTCCTGCCCAAGGGGTTGGAATCAGTTACTCCTTTTGAGAATGATGAGGTGCCAACAGCTACCATTCTGGTCCCCCCCCCCAACTCCCCAGCCACAGGAGTCGTGCCTGGTGCTCATCTCTGTGTCCCCTTCTGCTTGGTGCTGACGGGAGAGGTCAGCTTCACGGAGGAGGGAGGGAGGGGGTCTGAGGGGTCTGGGACACCCGCCGGACTCATGCAGCCCCCCCAAAGGGGCCTGCGTTCAGGC